GCTGGAGAAAGGGGGGGACACGGAGCCGGGATGGGGAGCTGGGATGGAGAAAGGGGGGGACACGGAGCCGGGATGGGGAGCTGGGATGGAGAAAGGGGGGGACACGGAGCCGGGATGGGGAGCCGAGTTGGAAATGGGTTGACAAGGAACTGGGATGTGGAGCCGGGATGGAGAAAGGGGGGACACGGAGCCGGGATGGAGAAAGGAGGGACACGGAGCCGGGATGAGGATCTGGGAAGCAGAACCGGGATGCAGAGCCCGAGGGTCCCCACTCCTGAGGTTGGGGCACGGGAGGGGGCACAGGGCACAGGTCTTGAGCCCCTTGTCCCTCGGCTCCTCTCCTTTCTGCTCCTCGCAAGGGTTGAACTGGGTGGGACTGGGCTCTGCTGGGTGTCCCTGGGGGTCTGAGGGGTTTCTCCCCCAGAAGCTGCAGTTCCCCCTGCCGTGTCCCCAAGCCGGTGGCAAAGCCAAACTGGGGTGACCCAGGATGGGGGGGACAAGCTGCTCCCGGGTGGTCAGAGAGCCAGGACCCCGGGAGCCCCCGCGGGGACGGTGCCAGGAGAGCAGGAGCCAGCCCGGGCCGGGGCCCAGGATTCCCTGCCAGGAGCGATTAGGGACAATGTTCTCCCCTGGAGCAGAAGCGGGGAGTTTTGTCAGAGCCGGAACGTGCCTTTTGTCCGGTGACAACAACACAGCTGCTCTGCAGCGGCCCCCGAGGGGGAGAAGGGGGGTGGTTTTGGCCCCTTGTCCCCTCTGTGTGCCCACAGGATCCTGCTGTGGGGCTGGGGCCGGGCTGGGACTCACTAGAGGGCACCAAAGGATTTGGGATGGGATGGAATGAATGCGATGACAAGGGATGGGATGGAATGGTTGGGATGGGATGGCAAAGTATGGGATGGGATGGATGGGATAGGACAGGAGGAGGATTTCCTGGGGAATCTGCCCGGACCACCAGGGCACTGGGGGTCTGTGGGGTCTCCCAGGACACGAAGGGAGGACCAAGGGGTTTATGCATCAGCCAAGACAGCCAGAGGAGGTGAGTCCATGGGGTCTGCAGGGGCTGTGGGATGTGCTGGAGCCACCATGGTGTGGCAGGTCTATGGGTTTGTCCGAACACCCAGGGCACAGTGTGATACAGGGGGCTCTGGGGGCTGCCAGGACACCCAGTGGATGTGGCTGATCCATTGGGCCACCCCACAACCAGGGACCTGGCCCTGTAACCCCTGCAGCTCCCGGGGCTGGTGGTACCCCACCATTCCCACACATGGCAGGGGACAGGGGGTCCCCTCCCCACTTCCAAGACGGAGCAAGGTGTGAGTGTGCACCCCCCAAAACGGGAACAGGGGCCGGGGGCTCCCCTGTGGGGGCTGCAGGTTTCCCCCCACCCCCGAGCTGCTGGGACCCCAAGTCTGGCCTCTCCCAGGAGCCAGATTTCTCCATCCCTTCCAGCCCGAGCGCGGCGGCCCCGGCACAGGCTGTTCCCATGGCGCAGGTGAGCCAACAGATGGGAACAATTATCCTCCCATTCGGAGGCTCCCGGGCCCTGCCAGCGCCGGGGCTCGGCAGCCCCTGCTCCTCCTGCACCCTGAGCTGCTTTCTGTGCCCACCCCGAGCCCTGTGAGACCCCAGCCCTCTCACCCAGCACCCCTGAGCATCCCCTACCCCTGCACCCTGGCGATGGAGCAGGGGGTCCCGAGGGATGCTAGGGGTGGTGGGGGGGACACATCTTTATCCTCACTGCCATCCTCACCCCCCGCAGCAAGGAGGAGGCAGAGGCCATGGAGAAGGAGCTGCTGGAGGATTATCGGTTTGGGCGGCAGCAGCTGATCGAGATCTGGGGACACGCTTGTGCCATGGCTGTGACCAAGGTGAGGTGGCCAGCAGGGCTGGGGACAACCCACGGGTGCCGGGGACACCCCTCTGTTGTCAGAGACACCCCACCAGGGCTGAGGACTCCACTGCCAGCCACTCTCCCACCCTCCTTTTGTCCCCCTGTGTGGCTTTTCCCACCCTGAGCCGTGGTCTCTGTCCTGCCCCACACACCAAGGCATGGGGACAAGGGGACAGGGACACCCAGGGCTGGTGGCAGAGTGATGCTCTGCCCATCCTAGCCCTGAAGCCTCTCCCTGGGCGGGTGTTTGTTTTGCATTCCTGAGCCCCCCCTTCATCATTTCACTCTGGGGTGAACTTGGGCTCACCCTTCTCAGGATGGGGATGCTCAGCCCTTCCACTGGCTGCCCCCAGTGCTGCTGTGGGGAGGAGGGTGCTGGGGGAGCTCCCTGGGGGGTCCCCATTCCCTGGCAATGCTCGGACCCCCGAGTGCTGGTGCTGGATGGGAGGAGGAGGAGGCAGCGTGGGCGAGCAGAGGTGCAGCATCAAGGGCAGCTTTGTCACTCAGAGCCCGGCTCAGCTTTTCCATCTGAGGTGTCCGGGCCGTGCTCTGCCCTCCCCTCCTCTCAGGGCAGAGACGTTGCCTGAGGAGGGGAAATATTTGGGTGTCTCTGGATCCCAGGGCTGGCCCCAGGCCCACAGCGTGGGGCTGCCCACCCCCCAGGGACCCCCCGTATCACAGCATCCCTGGGTCCAGCACTTGACCCAGCTGGGGAGACCTGGGCTGAGCACCCTCCTGGTGGGGCTGAGCACCCTCCTGGTGGGGCTGAGCACCCTCCTGGTGGGGCTGAGCACCCTCCTGGTGGGGCTGAGCACCCTCCTGGTGGGGCTGAGCACCCTCCTGGTGGGGCTGAGCCAGGCAGAGCATCCACGGACCCCCAGCTCGGGCATCTCACACTCAACCAGTGTCCCCAGCACTGTCCCCTTCAGGCACGTCCCTGGGAGCCCCACGGTGCTGGGGCAGGACCAGGACCAGCCAAGTGTGGCTTTGTCCCTTTGTCCCACGCCCCGACCAGCCGGCCGTGCCGCTCAGGTCGCTGGCAGCTGGATGGGACCAGGAGCCAGGCTCCTGGAGCAGGAAAAAATCCGTCAAGGGATAAACAGACCCTCCCTGTGCCGGCTGCTGGAATGTGGAGCGTGTGGCCGCCTCCCTGCAGGCTGGCCCGGAGCCCCGGCCCGGGCATCGACCTCAACACACCTTGGGCATCATCACCAGCCCACCCTGGGCACTGTTGTCACCTTGCCATGGACACCATCCTCATCCTATCATGGGATTCATCCTCATCTTACCAGGGGCATCATTGTCATCATGCTGTGGTCACCATCCTCATCCCACCATGGGCATCATCCTCATCCTACCAGGACCATCATCTTCATCCCACCACGGGTATCATCTTCATCCCACTACAGGTCCCATCCTGGGCACCATTCCCACCCCACTACCCACCCAGCACCAGATCCCCGCCACGGGTCCATTTCCCCTCTCCCCTGCAAACCCAGGTCCCCCTGCCCCACGTCCAGCTCTGGGTGCCACCCCTGGGGCTGCCCCAGGTGGGGGCAGGGCTTGGTGGCCGTGCCATGTCCCCGTGTCCCCCGGGAGGCCTTCCC